AAATTAGGCAAAAATGAAATTGAAAAAAAGGATGCCAACGAAAATCTATCATTCTCTCTCTCTTCAAATTTGCACTCCCTTTCTTCAAATATGCACAAGCACATGCATCTTTTGATGAAAGTAGGCAAAAATAAAATTGAAAAAAAGGGGATACCAAAATTTACCCTTTGAACTCCTCTTTGCTTGAAAATATTTTTAAACGTCTCTCTCACTCTCTCCACAAATTTATGGATCCTAATAATTAGGGTTTGAAATGAACCGCACTTTATTCCTATACATCAGCTCTATGACAAAAGTTTTCTCTTGGCCATCTTTTAGAATATGGTTTTTTTTAAAATGTATAAACGAATTCCACAAATATTGTGATTTGTATACATTATGTCATTATCATTCCACCCAAAATAATTTGTAATGAGCATGCATATCATGTTCCCAAAGGAGCATACCGCACAACAACTCTCTTGGGCAAAACAACAACTTATGATACTTTCTTTTGATGATTTGAAATCATGTGATGCATCCAAAAATCGACTATTTTCAAAGAAAAAAATTTGGAATTTGAGTTCTCAAACATCCAACTTAGGCGGCTCTTGGGACAACACATTTTTGAAGCACACAGGGAGTGCGAGTCATTATTATTATTTTTCCTTTGAGGTTGGTTACCGGTTCTAGAGGCTGCATTCTCAAAATTTGATATCTAAAACTATTCCTACCATGGTTTTGCCAGATTAAATGGATGGTATACTCCTGCAGGAATATAAAATCTTTTGGGATATGTATTAAATGGGAATGGCATTTTGTGCCTAAACTTTTTAGGACAGGCCAATTAAGTTTACAAAATGGAGCAAACTCTCTCTCTCTCTTAGAGGAGGGGAGTTTGTTTGGATGGAATACAAGGAAGGCACATATCTGAGCTGGTGGATGGGAAACACTTTTTTTGTCATTATTCCATATTATATTAAATGAGAGAGAGAGAGAGAGAGAGAGAGAGGAGGTAGTATGTACTTTACTTTTACTCTACCTCTACTTCCTTACCTTAACCGTAAGGTTCGGACCCAACCCTACTACTATTACTTAAGTTTAGTTTAAG